AAATGTTGATTAACATATTGATTAATAAAATATAGAATAGAATATTTATTACTTTCCCCTTATATTCGATGATATATTAATCAATATATCTCCCCAAGAAGAGAAATAATTGATTAATACATCATCGAATAAACGTATTTATATTACTTGTTATACAAATTGGGTAATCTATAAGTTTAGTCTAATCTATATAATTTAATATATTGTGAGATAAATCCTAATACGTTTAACGTATAACGTTTACGTATAACAAATTATACGTTTATTATGCGTATACCTGACAAATTATTTTTGCTACTAATTAACATTATATAATGTTAAATAGATATTTTAAGTCATTTAAAATTATAGACATATGATTACATATATTATGAATTTTAATTCCGCTTATTTAATAATAGTTATTATTAAATCAAGTGATATTGCCAAGAATACAACTAGAAAAAATATGAATAAAATTCATAAAGATTGTGTTTTCTTTAAAGCTTTTTACGACAAATGCTCTGGTCTTCCCATTAAATTCTCAACTGCAATATCCTATAAAATGCAACAGAGTATACATAGTAAAAAAATATATTTCTTAAAATATATTCAGAAAATTATAACATTATGATCAAGTTAAAATATTGTATTTTTTTTAATATGAATTTTTTTGATAGTTTTTATTTATTTTGTTATTAAGAATTATCTATATTTTCAAAAAAGATTAATATTTATTTCGTAAGTGCAATATAAGAAGTTTTTGTTTCGAAAATAACAGTAATTTTAGGTTAATAAATTAAGTATTTTGGTTAGTACATTAAACATTTTATTAGAGATGTGCAAATAAAAAATTTTTTTATGCTACATAGATCAAATGAAATTTTGTTTCTTAATTTATTTGAATCCAAATCAAAGTAAATCAAATCAAATCGTTAAAACAACTTTTCATTAATAGCACAATTATCATACTGATTTTAAGAAATACATATATTTTTTTAATTTTGGATAATATTATATTAAATATGTCTATAAAATTTGACATTAGAATATTCGTTCATGACAATAGATATAACATTTTATAAAACATTTTATGAAATAATTAATTTATACTTAATCAATCATCAAAATAGCAATTATATCAAAATAATAATTTCTATATAAAAATTTTACTCAAGGCTTAATTCTAACAACAGATATTTACAGGTATCTCAATTTAATGACTTTTTGGAACATCTGTTCGAAACATCACGAAGTATTGCATAATGGAATGCGCATAAGGCGTAATAAAGATCGACTCATTTTGCGATGTATGAATCTCTTCGTTGTGTTCTATAGCTGGAGCATAGCGCTGTTAGACGAGGTGGTCTACCATAATTGTGCAATACGTGTATCTCGCATATCTCAGCGTGCAGCCTTCCGTTCCGCCCTTCGAGAGCTACGTTGCATATCTATCAAGCGCAACTTACTTAATGTCGACGAATAACGGGGATTGTACGGTGATTTGTGCATAGCTGACAGACGAAATGTTCATTCTTCCAAACGGCTAAATCGGCATTGATTAACATCAACAAAAACATATAACAAGAAGATTTCTATATTGATTTTTAAATCGACCTGTGGCGTATCACAGCGTAAGTACGAAAAATGTGCACAAAATAAAACATTACATATTAAGACGAATGTACCAGTCAGTGGCCATGGTTCACAATTACTAGACAAACTACCAAAAATTTTAAATACTAAGCTTTTAATAATATGTATAACTAAATGTCTAAATAAATTCGTTGTTTTAAAAATTTAATAAAACAAATTAATTTAGAGCCGCACATATCGTTAAATGTTTAATATTTAAAATTTTGATCACTTTATCCAATAATGGGATCATATCTCTTAACTAGTACATTTACTTTATATGACAATGACAAAACATTGCTGATGTATATATATTTAATTATGTATACTTCATATGTATATTTCTTAATATTTTTTCGAATATCATCATAAATAATATTAATTCCCTAGTGATTAGTATCTCAAGTAACACACAGCGCTTACAAAACATTAACAAAGCGCTAAAAAAACGTATATAATCGCTTTTTTAGTGCTTTGCAAGCGTTGCTGTCCTACGTTGCTTGGAGTTGCACATTAATTTTTTATAAATAGGTATAAGAATATATCAAAAAGTCCAGGAGCCATACAATTTAATTAAATTTAATAATTGAGGAAGCAATATGGCATTGAACATTAAAATACAATGCTTTTCACCAAAAGGCTATGCGTTAATACATTAACAAATTCAGATATCGATAAATTTTTTTTCAAAATATTTTTGAATAAAATTAGTAAAATAAAAAACTTTTTTACAATAAGGTAATGCTACTGCTAAAAAGTTAATATTTCAATAGAAAAAAATTATTAATACTCCAAACGCTAGTACAATGGAAAGATATCGTGATTTTTCGTTTTACGTGTTGTGAAGTTAATACTCTAAATTTAAGTTCACTTTTTTTAAAAATGAGGTTCTAACTTCACAAAAGTATCGATAAACGGAATCTGATTTTTAAAACCAGAAACTTAGTCATCTTCAAATTGTCATCGGATTACGAAATTTTTAATAGACAGCGATAAATAATTCTGTCACATTCACAGACTATTTGATCATGACGATGTAGCGATAAAACCGGTTAAACTGGAATAAAATTTTAACGATTGTAACAAAAGTAGCATAAGTTTCTAAAAGAGCGAAAAGAATTGCTAACAGAATGAGCTTATTGAAATCAATATTAAATCAATAATTTAATTAATTATTATTTGTACCTATCTTTCTATTTAAGTAATATTTTAATGTGTATATATTTTTTAAGATAGAGATTTTAACAATATACTCGAGAAACTATTATCGTTTAACTCCAAAAATTCGGATTAAATACCATAATGCATTTTTGTCTATATTTTTAGACTAATAAGAGAGAGAGAGAGAGAGAAAAGATAATATTTTATCTATTTTTCAAGAAAATATAATGTTTAAAAGAAAAATATAGAAATATATTAAGTAAGAGGTAAATAATAAACTTCTATATTAAATTTTATATAAATAGATTGCTCATGAGATATTTGTCAAAGTAGACAAACAAACATAACTGTAACACTATGTAACAGAAATAAGTACAAACTGTAACGCTTTTAAAATTTTAATACTCTCTTTTACATTTTCTCCTTTTTAAACTTACTATACTATTATAACAAGTCAGCTTAGAACCGGTCAAACAGGCTTCTAAAATAAATGAAAGATCCTTGCAGCTTAGTGTCATCAACACGATTTATAAAAATATGTTTAATATACGTTCATTATTATATTCAATTCTGAATTTTAAAAGAAAAATTTTATTACACAACTGTTGCTAACAAGCGACTTTTAATTAAATACTTTTTTGTTCCTTGTGGAAACTGCGAAATAAAATTGCATAACTTTTTTTTACAATTGCTCTGATTTCAACTTGACAAAATTAAAAAATATTCAACTTAGTGCTGCAGATATACAAGTAAACAGATCTAGCTAAAAATATTTTCATATTATCGTGCTTCTATTGAAAATAAATATGTTTATATATTAACGCAAATGCAAATGTAAGTTATATAAATCTGTTCTAATATGTATTTAACATCAATACTATGCTAAAATCTATTGCATCAATAACATCATGTGCATATTTCCTGTTAATAAATTAATACAAAATTTCAATAATTGTGCATAAAGATTATATATGGAAATTTTTTGCTATTTTCCTTTGTTACGTAATATTGCTTTTAGTAATCTTGTAATAATGAATGTAGCATTTTAAACTGATAGCAATATAAACATCACTTTGTCATACATAAAATATGTATATTTCATTGTTCTTTTTTTTAATCTTGCATGGCTGTGCATATATATTAACCTGAAATGGCGGTGTCAGATACTGGATGTTATAGCCAGTACCTTGTATTCTCCTCTTCGTACCTGCATCTTCAACGCATAATACGCGATGCGACTCATCGTTTTATACTTGGAGCGGTTAGGCCCCTTCGGATGCAGCTTCCTTACCGAATTTATCGCTCGTCCGAATCGCAGACAAGTCCATATAACCCGTTCATGATCTCGCTTCCCACCTAGCTCGTGCAAAACCCTTGCGTTCGCCACGCTGTTTTCATTCTTATATAAATCTCATTGCAGGCAATATATATTGCATGGTATTCCTTTGCTCATCTCACTTATATCGACCATTGAAATTTATCTCGCTGATCAAACGCGAATAACTGAAATAAATCGTTGTCAAGCCGCCTTTTATCCTTTACCGTTCTTATTAAATGTGTCGTGAAATATAAGATATTTAAGTCATTCTTATTCTTTTCAATTTCAGATGCCGATTGTAACAACAACTTTGGGATTCTGTTACGTAATAACGGTAAAATATTAATATTTAAATGAAGTTTATACGTATTTTCAATTGGCTATCTAACATTTATAAATATAACTTAATAATTTTATTCTATTGTATATAATATTTCTAAGACTTAAAAAAGTAAAAAGTATTTTTGTAAAAAGTCCTAAAACTATAAATGAGCAAAAATTTATAATATAAATTGTCTTTTTATGTATGCATGTATGTGTAATAAACAGATAAATAGTAAGCAAATTATGAAAGAATAAGAACTGTATAGAATTGTGTTCAATGTACATTGATGTAACTTTGCATTCCTTGCAGTTAAAATGATATGAGAGACGAAAGAGTTTCAGAAACAGCTGCAAAACAATAGGCATAACTTCTAACGTGGTTGACACGCTGGTTACCGCAAGCCAAAAGCAGCTAATACAGCAAGTTATCCACTTAGAAATCCGACGGAACATTGCGAGAGAAGAGTTTGAGGAGTCGGAGGGTATAGAAGGCTGTTACCAACTTTGGATAAACCGGGCTAAGTTTCTTGGCTCGGTACTTACGAAACTGCCATGTGAAAACGTTTAAGTTTATTCTTCCCGTATGCACCGACAGAAAAATACCACAGGCATCGATTTACATAACGATTATAAGTTAATTAAGCGCTTAAATGCGCTGTTTATCAGAACTGCCTTAAAGGTAACACATCTTCAAAATCATTATCGATTTTTGTATTCTGATAACAAGAATGTTTAATAAAATAAATATATCTACTGACAAGTTTTATATTTTACTTAAAAAATAATTATTTATAAATATAATTTATTAATCAATATAACTGATTATGTAAGAAATATATATTTTTACTTTGTACATAATTCAGAATTCATTGTATTATTTCTTAATATTAATATTAATATTTAATATTTCTTAATAATTTCTTTTTGTTGAAATATGCGATTACATTTAATTATGTGTTTACTACGTAGTGTAAAAAGAATGCAAAATGAAAGTTCGATTTCTATTATTTTATTCATATTCGTTATGGGATATAATATGTAAACTGTAATGTTATATTATAATGTTATATTATTAGATAAGTTTTATAATACTAAAAAGTCAAATTAAATTGGATAAAGGAGCATAAGAGCCAATTCAAAGAAATTGTTTAATACACTTGCACGTATATTTTACAAATTGACTCTTATGCTCCTTTATCAAATTTATTGCGACTTTATTCGAATAGCCAATAATCTATTTAATACTCAAAAATTTAACAAAATCCAAAGATAGATTTCCGTCCACAAACTTTTAATTTACAAAAATATTTGGGAAAGATATTGTTAAGTAATTCTTTCCACTTTACCATTCGTCATACAAAGAAAATATTTGTGGCAATGAAATATTTTATGTAGGAACTTTAAACTGACAATTTGTGCTCTACAAAATGATCCGTTGTAATATTTTATCGAGAAAATATTGGATTCAGTCAGGGATTTGAGATATTTCAGTGGTCCTGTTCTCTAAAGATAAGATTCTCATTTTTTAAGGTCACGATGACATATCCACGCAATGACAAAGTGAACATTTGCGATTTTGAAAAGATTATGTCAAATTTTTATAGAAGTTAATTTAACAAAGTTAAATGTTTCTATGCTTTTCTGTCTGTTTTTTTGTTCTCCTCTCTTTTCAATATCTGCGGTAAAACTGCATTAGGACGACTTCACTGATTTGAATAATCTTGATATTCAAAGTTATTTTTCTGAAATTTCTAATCAAATGATTTTATATCATTCATTACTTATTAAAAAATTATTAACAAATAAAGTTGACAATATAAAGATGTGTTTAATTCTATTTTAAATTTAATCCATTACGAATTTTATGTAAATATCACATTATGTGCATAATTGCATATTTAAATAGTTGGCGGAGAAAGAAGTAGAGCCCTACATTTCCACAAAACAAATGTAACTAAAATAAAATTTTATAGAGTAGATCTCGTTTCGTCTATTGGAAATGTAGAATCGTACAAGGATTTAGAAGGTCCACTTTATATTGCCTTCTGCTTACAGTGCGAAACGAGATTGTAATTGTACAATTCCACATAGATTTCCAATTTCCCAAGCAAGGTCCACTTCACTGAATTTGATTTGAGTTAGATTTTTTCGAGATAAGAATATATGTATATGATAAAATATACATATAAAATATGTATATGATAATATATACTACACTTCTATTATACTGGAGCCTCTCCCCCGCGTTCACGTATTTCTTTATATACGCAAATATGCACATAACGTGCTATTTATGCTATGTAAAAATTCAAATAGAGTTAAATATCTTTAAAGAAGATAATTAAGTTTCATTGATAACAACTTTATAATAAACATTATGCGATGACTAAAACTTCATGATTGTTATTTACAATGACGATTTTGATGCGAAGATCATTGAAATCGGTGAAGTTATCCTTAATGTACAGTTTTATCTTATCTTTCTATGCTACTTATTCTTATATCACAAAAGAAATTGTGTAATTATGAATACTTCATTTAAAAAAAACTCATTTTAATTTTGAGATGTAGAAAGAAGTAATTTTATAATTAAATTTCCACCTAAGAATATCTATGAGATAATGTTATTCTATTTCTTTATTAGATTTTATCTAAATAGGTCGCGCGCCAAGAGAAAATCGAAGGGTGTCTTCGACATCTCGTCAGAACGGGACCTCCTCCGAGCAAACACATTTCCGGAATGTTGTATAACGCAAAAGTAAAGGAAAGATGGTACGGAGGAGGAATAGTGTATGCAGACGCGAGCCTATATCAAAAGTTCGCTTCCGTTGGGGCTCGCGAAAAAGGAGACGATGACATAGCTGCGTTAGGTAAGTTGACTCAGGACGAAATTGGTTTCGACGCGTGTCGGTGAATGTCGAACTTTCATCGTGATACCTTCACTTAGATAGACATCACTGTACTTTTGCAGTCATGAAAGAAAACTGCAGAAATTCTTCAAAGAAGTAGACGCAGAAAAACATTTGCAAATTTAAAACAAAAAAATTTTTGTTTTACTCTTATATTAGAATTATTTTTTACATCATGTAAAATATTATAATAAGAATGATATAATATCATGTCCATTATTTGAATTTTTGCATTATTTTTGAGAAAAAACATTAAATTAATTTAACTTCATAATAGAAAATTATTTCTAACAATAAGACAAATAAATTTAGCACAGAGACAGATATATGTTTAGCATAGTTAAATTCTCTCGTGACAATTCTACGAGATGATTAAATGAGCACTTGATAGATAATTTATTAAAAATAATGTGTTATAAATTATTTAATATACTAAGTTCACCGTATTATGAACTTATAAAAATATATTTATTTCAATCTATCGATATTAAAGTAAAACAAAATATTATTCTTTTGACTTTTAAAAAACACATCAATCTTTTTCATTTTTCATTTTAATCATTTGTTTTTACTCATAGAAACGCTGGTTTATGAGATTTATTTAGATTATATAAAAAAATTAACTATTTCTAATTTGATTACTAAAGATTTAACTATTTTTGTATGTCATTTTTAAAAGATACAATATAATTTGCTAAAATTCGGTGATTATTTCAGCGTAAGTATATCGCTGAAACATGTCATTGAGAAATATGCAAATATAAAAACATAATTGAAAGTAGTACTCACGATGTCGAAGTCCAGATTCTCGGCAATCCAGTCGCGTCCTTGCTTGAATTCATCGTGGAGACCCATGATGTAAAGAGTATCAAGTCCATCGACGATAGTTGCACCCATATTCGAAGCCCCGAAGATACTGGCACTGTGACCTCTCTTCGAGATTGGTCTTAATTCGTTTTTTCCCCATGCGTACCGTACGTAGTTGTCCCAGCCATGCTTCATCATCTGCGTTAGAAAAGTGCAAGAAATTAATACAAATTTTTCATTTAAAAAATAAAAATGTCTACTATTTTACAATTTACATAAAATGATATCAATTACACGTAACTGTTTAGACGAGAGTTGCCGAATGCGTATCACTTAAAATATTTTTTATTATATTTTCCATTTGATTTGTATGCAAATAAACATTGGAAATTAGTTTGATGTTTTAAGTCATTATTACATTTTTAACTTTTTACAATAACAAATTAATTTGATATAAGGTTTTTTGTAAAATGCAAAGATACGATTCTTCGTCTAAATTGTACCTCCTTTAAAAGTATCGAATTTATAAATAAAAATAAAAATATCAAGTTAATAAAAATATCAAGTGTATAGTGTGTAGAAGTCTTTCCTTTTTAATTTTAATTTATATGTAATATAAGTATTTTTCTTTTATTTTTTGATCAAGTTAATGACAATTTAATTGACAATAATAACGTTTGACATTAACAAGTTCACCCGAATTAAGAGATTGTTAATGGAGCACATCTTTTATATCTTATCAAATACACAAAAAGTCTTTCTCATAAAAATTACTCTTTAAAAATCAGTATTTTCATATATTGTGAGATATAGTACTCTCATCAAGAACAGAAAACTTTACTTTTATGAAAATATAAAAATTCAGATAAAATTGTATAGTTAATTGCTAAAAATATAAGTATCTTAAATACAAATCAATATCTTAGAATTCTAAAATGTCCCTTCTATGATTAACGATATGCGCAGCCAAAGTATCGAGGTATCGAGCTTCTAGGATGCCACATGAACTAAATGAATAACAAATATGTTGTCCAATCCGTTCATGCCCATTATTTCCTATTCTCTTGATTTTTCGAGTTATTTGTCGAGCATCCGCGGTCATGGTCGCTTCATCATGTTTTTATGATGGCATAATTTAGGGGTAATATAATAT